TTTCTGTAATGGCAAAAAAATGCCAGAAGTAGCTTAATTTCTAAATTAAGCCCATAAAATTATCTGTGCTAGAGATAAAAAGGGAGTAGGTTTAAAGGATAAAACAAAGGATAATTGACTTCTACTCGAACATTCCTACCGTGCTCAGAACACCCTTGGCACTTCAAATGAATATGCCAGCACTTTGATTTTAAACTGGATAAACCATCCCTTTTTCAAGTGTAGAGATGGGAGGAACAGGTTCTGTTACTGGGAGAGGCTTCAGTAGGAGCAAGGCTTTAAAAACATAAAYCAAYCYTARATTTGGCAAGACTCAGTGAAAGATGGTGGGCRTTGAGGAGATGGGAAAACTAGTGCTGGACTGTAATCAGGACCTTGTTAAAAGTATATTCAATATGGAGATGGGAACAACAATAAGGTAAAACCTGTCTGATTTCAAAGCCTGCAACTTGCCTACAAGCCTGTATCTTCTTCTGAGCCCCCAAAATGAGATGGGACAGCAAGCTCATAGCTGATAAACCCAAACAATTTGCAAGGGTGTATTTTATCTGTACAGTCAGTTAAGTGTGTCGAAAAGCTTTTAAACAGCAATTAGAGAAACATCCCATGAAATGCCTGAGAAGGCACTAAGCACCTGGATTGCCACGGAAGTGGCTGATTATTATTGTTAAAAAATAGTTGCAGGTTTAATCCTCCACAAAAGATCCCCTGTTAGTTGACACAGATGTCGTCTGTTCCCTTTGTTATGATTTGTGTCTTAAAGGGAAACGTGCAGCTGCACTTGTATGAAAGTGATGGGGCAAAAGGCAGCAGGCACAAGAATCAGATAAGGCTCAGRGCATTTCATTAAAATTAGGTGGTGTTATAAGCMCAAAATATATTTTTATTTWATTTAATCTAGGGGAAGCTTGAAGTGTGCTAGCAGAAAGCCCTAGCAAGATTTGTCAGTGGGCACACTTACCTATTTCGCAAGCACAGTGAGCACAGCACCAAACTGCCATAGGCTTCAGTGAACTTCTGCAGAGCTCTCAGTCCYGTCACTGGCTCTGTGAACTTTTGTCTTGCTTCTGCTGCTGAAAAGAGCTTCTCAGCAATCTGCTCTGGGAAACCAATCAACGAGTCAATGTGATCAACATTGTCAGAAATGTAACCCAGCACTAGGCTGAAGAGGGACTTGGCCGAGTAGCGGAGGTTCCCCTCCTTGGTGTACGTGAAGATGAAATGATCAGTCCTCTGCCTCCTTGCCCTATCGTCCTCCCTGTTCATGCACAGCTCCACCGAAAAACTTCTGGAAAACAAACTAAAAGGTCTTGTTTTGGGAGTGACATTCTGTACGCCGCCTGCACCCTGATTTACCACGTGCAGCTTCCCATTCTCACGCACGTATATCGGCCCAGAATCCAAATGGCTTTCTGAGTGGAGACAGTACGACATTCCCCTCGACCCGCTCTGCAAAAACAAACCACAGACAGGTGAAGAACAGCCACAGAGGAAAACATGACCCAGGGAAGCCCCCAAACCTGGCAGCTCCCCTTAGAGCCCTGAGTRTGGCCACGTAGCCCTGCGGTGCAARGAGGGCAGGCCGTGTGGAGCAGGGCTGTGAGCTGCCTGCCCTAAACCAAAAACCCCATCCCAATGGGAACCGGAGCCCRGGCTGGCTCAGAGGCCCGGGATGGATCCCAGCTCCGGGATGGAGGCAGAGGGAGAGGGAAAAGGGCTGGGGTTGTGTGGGAAGTGGCCCCACAAGTAGGCCTGGCTCTGCTGCAGGCAGGAGCAGGAGGAGGAAGAGGAGGAGAAGGGCACATGCCTGACTGCAGCAGGGCAATGGAGCCGGCTGGAACCTCCCTGCCTCCCCGGGAGGGTGGGCATCTCCCCGTGCCCCTTC